GAAATGCTAAAAAACTTGGTGCTGAATCGCTTGATTATTCAACACGAAAAAATAATAAATACATGGCAACGCTGGAAAGTGGAAAGAAAGTTCATTTTGGATCACCAAAATATCCAGACTATCTTATTCATCAAGACAAAGATCGACGAGATAAATATCTTGCTAGAGCGACAAAGATTAAAAATAAACAAGGTGAGTTAACTTATAATAATCCGGAATCGAGCAATTTTTGGTCAACACGACTTCTCTGGCCAAAAAAGTGAATTAAAGATTTGATAAAATATAATAAAATGAGTTCAAATTGTAATGTTGATATTACTAGAACATTTAATGATATTGATTTAGCTGGTAAATATTTTGTTAAATCTAGTGAAGTTTTTGATTTAATTGGAAATATAGAAGAAAGATTAGAAAAAATTGCAAGTAGATTTTCTGCACTTAATTATGAAAGAAATAAAGATATAATATATTATGAAATTGGTTTTTGTTTTAGAGATATTGCAAATAATTTGAGAGAGATTAAAAAAGGTTTAAAGAAATAATTTTTATAATAAAAAATGGAATTATCTAGTTACGATCATCTTACAACCGACAATATTATTTTTAATGAAGCCAAAGAGTACAAAGTAAAAGACAGCAAAATAAAATACAAACGTATTCCAATTGAAGTCAAATATCCAAATAACACAAAAGGACCACTTGTAATCGAAACTCCAGTTCTTTTTTCTTTTGGAGTAAATGAAAAGAAAAACCAAGAAACAAATAAGTTGGTTATAGTATACCAGTATGTCTTTGGGCTAAAGGTAGTGAGCCGAGTTCTAAAGAGCGTGCATTTTTTGATGTTATTAATAATATAACAACTGCCTCTCAGCAATATTTAGAGAATGAATACGGTGCAGATTTAGCATCAACTCTATCTTCACCATTTTATTTCAAACAGGAAGAATATACAGATAAGAAAGGAAAGAAGAAAACAAGAATAGATCCCTCATCCGCACCAGTTCTTTACGCAAAACTGATTTACTCAGAAAAATCTAAGAAAATTCTTTCACTATTTAAAACAAAAGGAAAGAAAGATTTAAATCCTTTCAAATATATTGATCAGTACTGCAATGTTAAAATGGCATTGATAATCGAAGGAATATTTATTAGTAAAACTGTAACATCTTTACAAATAAAAGTACATGAGTGCTTTGTCAAACCATTAAAACCTAGAGAGTCTTTACTAACAATTGAAGAGGAAGAGAGTGAGGGTGAAGAGATAACTGATCAAGTAGTTGAAGACTTACTTTCATCTGATAAAGAAGAAAATGAGTAAATAATAGGATTTTATTTTTAATACATTATTTGTATTAAAAATCAACCAAATCCTTAGAACTAACCCATGAGTTAAATTTATCAGGATATCCACTCCATTTTACTAATGCCATTTTTTTCTTCTTATCTCGTCTGATTATCTTTTCTATTCTAAATGTCTGCTGTTTTGCTTTCTGTAATTCTTGCTCGTAGAAAGAACCCTTAATCTCTTCTCCCATCAAATCAGTAATGTTATACGTAACAGGTTTTGTTGGAAGAACTTTATCAATTACAAATATCTCCTCTGTCCAGTTTGGTGTGTAACCTTTATCAAATACTTTTCTCTTATATTTTGAAATTCTAACTTTATCTCCAATAGAAAACTTTGGTTTACCAGGTTTTAAGTAAATTAAATCACCGTGCAAATTATTCCAAACTTTATTTTCATTTTTCTTTTTACTAGCTTCAACAGGAGTCATTTTAATGCTAGAGTGTCTCGCATTATTGTAGTCATTAACCAGTTTATCTATCTTATCCCAGTAAACAGCGTTGTTATTCACAGTAAACATCTTCCACATTTTGTTTTTCATTGTTTTATTCCATCGCTCAACAACACTTGATTTCTCTTCATTTTCAGTGTGATACAACTTGATTCCCTCTCTTTTTAGAAACTCTTTGAAATGTTTACTGATAAACTCAGAACCTTTATCTGTCCATAACATCTTTGGTTTACGTTTACTTTTAAATATATCATCAAATGCTTTACTAACAGTTTCAGTTTTTTTATCTTTCAACCCCCTAATCCATCCATACTTACTAAACACATCTATTACCATTAGCAGGTACTTTATCCCTTTATTCCATTTACTAAACTTTTGCATTTCAACTAAATCAGCAGCCCAGATTTGATCAATCCCGTTTGAGATTACTGATCTCTTTTGAAAGTTTCTTGTGATTGGTTTGTGAAGTTCATCGGCTAATTGTTGAGACCAATCACTACTCAACGCCGCTTTACGTTTTTTGATCCCATTCCAAGTTTTTGTTTAGTATTAATTATTGTTCTAGCTAAAGTATGCCCCCATTGTCTTTCTTTCCAAGGAATTGCATCCAAAGATTTTACCATCTTTCTGTCAGCTTTATTTTTACACTTTCGGTCATCACCACAAACACTATAATCAACATCATGTTGCATGGCCACGGCATCAGTTGGTCCAGTTGGTTGATCGTAAATTTCTAATATTTCACCAGTTTCCGGATTGTATCTTACTTGGTTTTCGAGATCATTATAAGGACCTGTATATTTATGCCCTGGTAAGGTCCATCCACCTTTTGGTTTTGGTAATTTACCAATCTGCTTGTGAATATCTATTCCTCTTCCATCTAATTCTGGTCTATCAGTTTTATATTTATTTTTTGGTCTTACTTTTGTTGATAACTGGTCCATTGCTGATCCAACAGAATCTTGAATAAATGGAGTGAGTTTATTAATCCCATAATTTACAGCTTTCTTCTGAAGATTTTTATTTCTCATTAATTCGCTTGCTCCATATCGTCCCATTTCAACTGCTTTTTTACCCATCCAAGGTAAACCGTAATGAACAAATCCATCAACTGCTGTGCCAACTACAGTATCAAAGACGCCCGCCCCTTCAGACGGGCTTACTAGTTTTTTGATTTTCGTTTTCTCTTTTTTCCACTTCCAGTTTGAGAAGCTGATCCAGTTTTTACATATCTAACTTTTTTGTTTCCACAAACTGCGCATCTACAATAGAATTGAGTTCTACCTCTTTTATCTTTTTGGTAACCACTTGGTTCTGTGCAAGGAGTTACTCTTTTATCTACAATGCAATATGATTCTTTCATTTAATATAATGTTTAGATAAAATATGTCTACTAGATCTAATTTTTTGAAAAGTGAACTTCAAAAGATATACAATAACCTAAACATGAGTTATGAATATGCTGATTTTGCTAGATTGGAAAATGACACTAGATTTATAAAAGTATTTGAGTTGCTTATGGAAATAAGTGAGAAATCAAATACACTTAATAAAGTTGTAAAAGGTAATTATCTATTTATATAATAAATGGAGGCTAAATTCTTTTCTGAAATAGAAAAAAAGATGGATGTTAAAACATTAAAAGATTTTGAGAAAGATGTACGAACACAAATAAATAATGAGTTTGAGTCTCTTAGAAAGAAAAATGATGATCTTTCTAGAATACTAGTGGCTGGTGAATGTGAGATGTGGGGGAAAATCAGAGATGAGGACTATTCTTGGTTGAAAATAAGTAGTGATAAAAAGAAGAAACTTTTTAGACTTATTAATATTTACTCGAAATTTGATGAAATAGTTGATAGTGTTAAAGATTTAAATAAAAAAGTTGAGAGTGTTAAGCAACTAAAGGATACGCCAGCGGATAGTGAATAAAAATAATAATATTTAATAAATATTATTTTTATCCTCCAAAATACTCTTGTATGAAATCACTATTGTCATTATCAAAATGAGGGTTATGTATTACATTTAAAATACTATTACCCCGCTGTCGCTCGTAGAGATAGTATAAACACCAATAACCACATAGAACAGTATTGCGATTTTGTATTTCATCCATTGAGTAAACTATTCGTTTTCCGGAAGTATGAAAATACTCCAGTGCTTCATTTGGCATTATTAGTCCAAATGGATCAAAGTACTCAACTACATTGTCTATATTTCTATAACAAACCCAGTGTGTTCCAGGACCTGTTATATCATCTAGATTAATTATTCCACATTCTTTTTTTATTTTATGAGGTAATCCATCGCGACTAAATATTCCTCTAAAATGTTTAATACTAAGTCTTTTTATCCATTCCATTAGGTCAAAGTTGGACAGAGGTTTGATTACAAAATGTCCCTTATTAGTGGAATTGAGTTGAATGGGCTGTTTTTTCCTAGTAGTAGTCCTTTTCCTTTGGACTTGGACTTTTTTTTTTTAACTCCCATTCCAATTGGGTTGTTCCATGTACCTAAAAAAGGAGGTGGGTAATAACCTTCACCATGTGTTGGTGGTGGAGGAGGATGTGGAACGTAAACATTTGCTGTATTAGATGATCCATGTCTATCAACCTGCAGTCCAGATCCAAACATCTTAGAAACTAAACTAATTGCCATTGGAATTCCAATGGATGCAAGAGTTCCAAGAAATCCTCCTTCTATCTGTTTACGAGTTGGTTTTATAACCAATCGCCCACCTGATTGATAAGCTTTGTTAATTTGATTTATTTGAGATTTGGTAAATTCTCTTACAAGAGGTGGTAACATTGGAAAAAACTGAGGGGGAATTGTGATTCCTTTTCCAAATATTTTATTTAATCCAATTTCTCCAAGTGCAGTAGCAGCACCAGTTGCTAATGCAGGAACAACTTTTGAAATTCCTTTTACTGCGTAAGGTAGTACTTTTGCTCCAATAGAAGCAAGTGGTGAAAATAAGTTTCCACCATGTTTTACAGAACTTCTAATTTGTGTTTTACTTATTTTTATATCTGATCCTGTTCCATTTGCAATAGATTTTTTTATTTTAGAAATTTGTCTTTTTGTTAACATTAACTCCTCAGAACCTCTAAGATGAGAATGTTTTAACCGAAGAGTTAGTGGTGATTCATTTAATATTGCAGAAGCCAGTTTTGACTTTTGTCCATCTGTAAGTGTTACTCCGTATTCAAAGTAAGTAGTCATTTTTATTTAAGTGGTTATATTAAATCATATGCAGTGTATATTCAATTAATAAAATACACGAGAAATTTGTATCATATACTCGTAATTCCATTTTCTTGGATCAAACCCCTTACGTTGAACAATTGCTTTAAGATAACACAAAAGTTTCTCATTATATGATAGCTTTTGTATATTTTCGTGATAAAACATAAGATATAAATAGTGTTCTAACATTTTTAGAAAATGTAAATCAATAAAACAATTTTTGGGATCAATTCCTAAAGATAACTTTCCATAAAGATAAGATTTTAAAATTCTTATATTGAATACTTTATACTCAAGTTTTTCATATTTTCTTCTATCAGACGCGATAGCTTTCCTGCGCTTTTTGGCTTTGGTAAAGTTATAAACACGGGTTTCAAGGTAGCTATTACACTTTCGTTTTAGTCTCTCCATAGATGTCATTTTATACTACTAATCTCTTTTTAAAATTGATAATTGATCGAGTGGGAGGGGTTCTATGCTCGAAGCAATAGTTTTCCTCCTTGCTGTTCGATTTCTGCCATTCGGTCGTGAAGTGTTAAAGCGTAGAAATTATAATCAGCGTTTGGATTGGCGGATAATTCGTAATGAAACGACAATTTTGTAACTCCATCTTTTATATCCAATTTTTGTTTTGTCAAGTCAAAGTAAACAAACGGGAACAAAGACTCAAAATTTGTTCTATTAAGTAGTGTTCCACCTTGAAAGTCGTTATTTGCGTAAACATAACCCATTACTTCTCTGAAAACTCTTGCTGGATCTGTAGCTGGTTTAAAGTGAATATCAGGGTACTCATTTCCATTTCCAACCTCGAGATAACAGCGAGATATATTAGCATTGTTTGGTAGATTAAAAGTATTGTATAAAAATGGATTTGCTTCTTGTGAATCAATATTGGCTGTGTTAATTCCAAAAACAAATACATGTCGAGGTAATTGCATTTGTAATTCTAAAATGACCTGTTTGCTGTTGAGAGTTATTTGATCGCTCTACTACTTCATTTAAATATTTCCAATTGTAAGGTTTAAGATAATTTTCCAAGTATATTTTTTGTCCTTCTGAGTTAAATGTTATTCTTGGAACAAATAGTTGAAATCTTGTTAGTATAACTCTACAAGCATCACCTCCAGTTCGCCAGATAAGATTGTTATCCGATTCTAGTTCTATATTAAGCTCAATTTTTGTATTTGGAAGAAGTTTATCCTCTAATGATTCAAAGAAAGAATATCTGTTAAGAGGAATTTCACATCGTACAGTTGCTGAGTCGCCTAATAGTACTTTTCTTATTGCAAAACCTTTGTTGTAAGTATTATTATCCCCATCTACAAAATTTCTTGCTTCCCAAGCATTACCAGCATCATTAGCACCGTGTTGAACCTGTCTTTCTGAGTACTTCTCTCTATTTGCACTTCTTGATGTATCAAGATAGTAAAATTCGTTTGTAGCAACACTCTCAGCATAAGAGGGATTATACTCAAGCAAATTCTTAATATTTACTATATGATTAGCATAGTTGCAACTGTAAACATCTCTACCATTTGCTAGGATGGATAACTTTTCTATTAGAGAATTACTTCCATTTACTATTCCCATTTGATCTCCATCTGCATCTATATCAGCTCCAGCAGCCAGCTGAACAACTTTGAAATCTACTGAAAATCGCGCGTTATACCAATCAAAAGGAGTAGCTTCTCCTGTGTTATCAGCAACAAATCTATGACCTGTTTTAATTTGATGAGCAGCATTTGCAGGTGCGGCTAAAGCCTGATCAAGGTCAAAAACAACATCTTCATATCTTTCTAAATATTCTGGATTTCTAAATGACTTCATTTTATTTTAATAATTATATAATTTTCTCTTACGTGTTGAACCTCCACTAAGAATGGCATTCACTCTTTTATTTATCTCTTGCTGAGTGTTTGGAATTGTTTCAACATTTTTATTAAAAGTAACTTTTTTGTACTAGTACGTTTTTTGGGTGTTACCCCCTCTTTGGATAACATTTGCAATATCTTATCACCAGCCTTTTTACCAACATGTTCACCAGTTTTTGTTGCAGCTGCTGTTACCGCTTTTTCAGCACCTCTTTTAGCAGCTTTTTTCATTGTCTTTCCAAATATTTTTTTACCAACTGATTTAAACACATCCATCATTCCTTCTCCATAAATATGTTGTCTTGTATATCTACCCAATTCAGGGTTAAGTTTCATTTTAAACTCTGATTGTCTCATCATTTTATTTTAATAGTTATATTACATTGAATGAAGAATTAATGTCATGAACCAATCTATACCGTTAAAACTTACTGGTCTTCCAAGTGAGTCTGTCACATATATTCTCATTTCATCACGTAGTTACTAAAACAAGGAATGACCTACAATGACCTACAATGATCTACAATGACCTACAATGACCTACAATGATCTACAATGACCTACAATGACCTACAATGANGAAATTAAAATTCGATAGGTAGATAGTATAAAAGTTAGATTGATTGAATACTCCTTTTCTCCTTTGGAGTTTGTTGAGTGATGGTTTTTTTGTGACATATATTGATGAATGTAATCATTGATATCTGAGTAGGAATACATTCCATCTGTAAAAGTAATTGTTTGCCAGGTGGAACCATCGTGAGTATATTTGATTTTATTGTTGTCGTAATCACTTCTAATGTTGTACCAAGAGTAAGTCATGGACAGCCGATCAAGAGCAAGTTCGTGTTTCTTATCAGGGTCAAGTTTCAGAGATGGATTAAACTTTATAGTAAAATCACCAGGTCTGCTTGTTCCTCTTTTTTCCCTATGAATTGAGGAAATGTGGATAGCTCGTTCTTCCATTTTTATATAATTGTTATATAACTTTTTAGTAAATCATTTAGTTGTTTTTTTGAGATTACCTTCATTTGGTTGAGAAGATGTGCTATTTGAGAAAACTCAGGTATTACACCATTATTCCCAGCAAGAATTGAGCCACCGAGTAATTCAAGTCTGTCTAGAAGTTGAAGTGGGTTGTTAAAGTAAACATTACCCTGTCCTACTTTATAATTAATTGATTTAAAATAAATATTTATTGTATTTCTATATTTTTTAGAGTTCCTTGTATTTCTTTTAATTCTCTAGTTTCAGCTACATACTCTGGAGATGGGTTCTTAATATTTCTTCTACCTGTAATTCTTCCATTTATTTCCTTTATATCATTATTTAAATCTACTATTTTTTCTTCCAATTCTTTAATATTAGATTCATTAAATTTACTTGGTCTTGGATAACCGCCTTCTCTTAATAACTTAATTTCATCCCCATTAAAATTTTTTTCTAATTCACCTTCTGGTTTAGGTAAAGGTTTACCTAAAGGTACCCAGTTAATATTCCAACCATCACTATCATCTGGTGGTGGTTTTATCCAATCATCATCTGGTTCTGGTAACTCTTTCATATTAGCCAATTTTAAATTAGTTTCATTAATTTTTTCCAATCCTGATTTTAATTCAAGTTGATTTTTTTTAAGTTGTGCTATAGTTGCGTCTTGCTGTTCATCAATACTTTTTTTAATACTATCCTGCGATTTAATAAGTGGTTTAAATGACTCTTTAAATCCTTCCCGAACATCTTGTTTTTGCCATTTTGTTATTTTTATTACATCTCTCACCTGTCTAGTCAAAGTATCAGCTTCAATTTTATTTCTTGCAAGTTTTTTGTATTCTTCAATATCCATTTATCTATTCATTAGATAAATGGAAATACCAAACTATGATAGTGGTGACAACCCAGATAAAAAATATAAACAGTTATATCCTTACATGCCATCAAACACATTTCGGATGTTTATCTGTGGAAACAGTGGATGTGGTAAAACTACTCTATTATATCATATGATAATTAAACCACTATTGTATTATGATGAGATTTATCTTTACGCGCGTAATCTAGAACAGGATTTATATCAAAAGCTAATTCAAAAAATGAGGGAGTTGAGTAGTAAACTGGGATATGAAATACTTCATGTGAGTAATGATGAAATAACTCCAGTGACAGGAATGGATTATGAAGACAACCAAAAACTAGTGATATTCGATGACTATGTTTGCGATAAAAACCAGAGACAACTGATTGATTATTTCATTCAAGGACGGCATAAGAATTGTTCGGTGGTGTATCTCAGTCAGTCGTTTTATAAAACAACAAAGGACATTCGGTTGAATTGTTCTCACTATTGTCTATATGAATTTCCATCATCGAGGGAATCCAATAGGATATCATCTGAGTTAGGAGTTAGTAAAGAAGACTATAAAGCAGCAACTAAAAAACCGTATTCATTTCTCTACATTGATAAACCAAAAAAACATATTGTAAGAAACTTTACTGGTAATCTAGTCTAATAATTAAAATGGGAATATTTAACGAACAATCTCTTGATCATCCCTTTGCTAGGGGAATTCAAGGTGCTCCAGGAGTAGGATTTAATCTAACTTCAAGCGGGGATTATGATATGATAAATAAAAAACTAAGAAATGTTGGTACACCTAGTGATAATAATGATGCTGCTACAAAGAAATATGTTGATGATAATTCTAGTGGACCAGTTGATACTAGTGTATTTTTAAAAACGGATGGTACAAGAAAAATGACTGGAAATCTAGATATGGATAATAACAGAACATATAATATACCAGCTCCAGATGGTCCCAAACAACCAACACCACTAGCTTTCACAGATTTAAAATATCTTCATGTTACTGGAACAAATGGTATGTCTTATAATTTAAACATGAATAACAAAAAAATAAATCACTTAGCTCCACCAACAAGCTTAAATGATGCTACAAACAAAAAATATGTAGATGATACGCTTTTATTAAATAATGTGGCTATGAGTAATTATTTGAAAAAGGATGGTACTGTTGCAATGACTGGTAACTTAAATATTAACAACAATAAAATAGTTAGTCTTGCAACTCCAACAAATAATACAGACGCATCAACCAAAAAGTATGTAGATGATACAGTTGCAGCAAATAAAGTTAATGTTAATTCTTTTTTTAAATCAGATGGTTCAAAAAAAATGACTGGGAGTATAGATATGAATAATAATAGAATATTAAATCTTCCAATGCCAAATGGTAATAATCAACCAACTACATTAATTTACGCAAATTCAAATTATTTAAGAATTAATGGAATAATACCAATGTTTGGGGATCTGAATATGAATTCAAATAAAATAAAAAATGTTAAAACACCAACTAATAACTCTGATGCTGCAACAAAAAAATATGTTGATGATAAAAGTGGAAGTCCAGATTTGAGTGATTATTTGGAAAAAGATGGTACAGTTGTAATGACTGGAGACCTTAATGTTGGAAATAATAAAATAAAAAATCTTAGTAATCCAACAGAAAATAATGAAGCGGCAAACAAAGATTATGTTGATAAACTAGTTAATCACAATGCAGTTCAACCAAGTCATTATAAAGATGAGTTTAGTTATCTTATGTCTAGTGCGGCTCAATGGACTGATGAAATAGATGGAGGAAATAGTTATACAATAAAAAAAATAGCAGACTTAAATCCTCATAAAGGTAATTTTCGTACATATAAACACAAAGTAATTTATCTTGGAATTAATAAAAATTCTAATGGATTTAAATATAAGATGGGAATTAACTTTTATAGATTAGAAGGTAATAAAGATTACACATTATGTATTGAGTTACTTAACACTGATAAAAAACTATGGGATATATCACAGATAAGTGTTGATAAAGGAACTTCAACAGGATTAACTGATTTAAATGTTAATGTTAGAAAATTATCCTTTAGTTATACAGATTCAAAAAATAGAAAACAAAATATGTATTACCATCGAATAATAGTTAACTTTCGAAAGTTATTAATTAGTAATAAATTCTTTCTTCACATACTAGTTAATATTCCTAATTTAGGGAATGATCTAGCTTCTTATCCAACACAGTTTTTAGGTTGTTATATAATTACTTATGGAATTATGGGAAAATTTAACAATATTGACCCCGATAAAGTTTACGACTATCACACTTCTTTTGACATTCTACCAACAGAAGTTAAGTATAATGTTGATATTAACACAAATAATAAAAAAATACTAAATATTGATCTCGATGGAAGCAGTAACAATAGCGCTGCCACAGTTGGTATGGTAAAAGAAATTATTCCTTTTATTAAAAATAATGTTTATAGAAAATATTTTGAAGTTTTTGATTTTACAGATTCGGATAGTTATGGGGTAAATATTCAATCATCTGATGTAACCTTTGATTCTATTTCTTCTAACAGTGATAGTAACGTTTCCTTTCCAAATAAAACTATAGATAATATAAGAAAAGATGGATTAAATGTTAATGGTTTTACTATTACTCTTACACCAACTAGTGGACAAACAAGTTATACTTTATGTTTTATCTTTATTATTTGGAGGAATAGAAATTTTAGTATCGTCAAAAAAGATAGTAACAATAATCAAATTTTGTTTAATCTATTTTATCTTAATTCAAATAATACTCTACACCTAAATATAAGAAATGTAAGAAAAAATATAACTATTCCAAGTAGTTTTAATGGAAAAAAATAATCTTATGGGTAGGGGAAAATATTAATTCAAGTACTACAAAAGTTAATATAAGTGACTACTCCTCAGAATTAGTTGCAAACTTATCACATTACTCAAGTAATCAAAAATTTGAGTTTTTAAATCAAGATGGAGTATTAGAAAAAATTTAATACTCACCAAACTTTTACGACACTGATTCTATACAATTTAAAAAGTTATACTACAGGAAAAGTTGAATGGAAGTTATATAGCGTAATTATAAATGAAAAGAAATAGTAGTAAAAGAACAAGTATTTTTGAATTTAATCATATAGACAAATCTTTATCAGAAGAGCAAAGAGAAACTATAACAGACCTTTATAAACATTACCATAAGAAACATTGGTGTTATAAGAAATCTTATAAATCTTATAAATTTTTAGATAATATTTTTTCTATTTCTAGTTTATCTCTTATTGCTGTTGGCACTATCACAGGAGGATTGACACTCAATCCTGTTATTCTTGGAGTAATAAATGGAGCAGGAGTAATTGTAGGTGGAATTACAAAAAAGAAGGATTTTAAGAAAAAGATAGAAACAACAAAGTTAGCTTATACTACATATGAGAAAGTATTGGTAGAACTACGATCAGCACTCAGAGGAGATGAGTGGAATAAACAAGAATTTATCGAACGTATAAAAATATTAGATGAAATGATAATTGATCAATGTCCATCAAGCGCTGGTAACTTTGCAGAGAAATATAAAAAGAAATTTAATATATGAATTTAAAGATTAAATTTATTAATAATAAAATGGAACAATATAAAAAACTTAAAGAAGAATTTAATACTTCTTCTTTTTTAATAGATTTAATTGAAGAATATAAAAAACATTGTAAAATTTTTTTAAATATATTTAATGAGGGTATAATTAACAAATATTTATATAAAAAAGCTCTATATTTCTATAGTTTTTGTTTAAAACATAAAAAATATTTTCTTAATAAAGATTATCTTGATGAAGATTTACTTAAAAATATTTTAAAAATAAATTATAATTTTAAATATCTAATGGATATTAGGCATTCTATAATTTATTTATATTACTATAACATTTATATAAAAAGTAAATTAGCAGGTAATCTTGATCTAAAAACTAATTCATAGAAATCAGCTTAGTTAATTATTATAAAATTTTGTTCTCCTCCAAGGAGGCCTCCTTTTATATTTTTGATATTAAATTAATATCAAAAAATTAAATGTTTTTCTCAATTCTGTGTATTACTTTGTAATGCTTATTTAGTGTTGTTTTACTACGAAATGCTTTTGGGCAATATTTACAAAGAATACGTACACCAGCCATATACTTATGTATAATTTTGCTGATCTTATCGTAATCATTACTTAGAATAAATGCGTAATCGTTATTTCGATACTTCTCTTTCATCTTAAGTTGAGATTCTGATACGCAGTAATTGTTAGTTGGTGATTTGAATTCAATACAGAGACCTTTATATTCCCTGTGATAATCTAAAATCATTAGATCTGGTTGACCTCGTTGATATCCTTTTTTATACGAATCTAGCCTTTTTTCCTCTGTATCTTGATTCTCTCCTAGACCAGCTACTAATATAGAATCAGGATAATAATTTCTAATTAGTTGAACAACTTTATAATGTAAATCTGTTTCATTTTCTATTTTAAACATTTTGTTATTCGGATTGTCAAACATTTTGTACTGTCCATATTTACGGATAAAAGGAAGAACTTGTGAGGTAATCCAATGTTTGAACTTTTTAGCTGTTTCTAATTTAGAGGATAATACAAGGGAGTAGAAACCAGATTCATTTATGTAAAATGATTGTTGCAAACCCCCCGTCGTTTCGACGGCCCCTTTATATTTATCCTCTTCCTCAACATGTTTTCTAATTGCTTGATTAGTGTCTTTATATCCAAGGATCTTAGCAACATCTTTTCCAAGAAACCAGACATTTTGCTTTTTACTGATAAATGATTTTAACTCAATTCCTAAATCTTCATTTTTAAAACTTTTTTCAAACATATTCATCATTTATAATATAACAATATTCTTTAAACCATAATTAATTAGAAAAAAATAAGTTTATATCTAAGTATTATATAAAAATGATCAAATCAATTGTAGAATATGTTAATCTTTACTTTCCAACTTATAAAACACAATTTTATCCAGATAACTTTATAAAAGCTTGTCTAGTTTACCAGTTTCTATACGCAAAGTATTTTTCACAAAAAATAAACATAGATCAAATTATTTACAAACTTACAGAAGCAAGTCACTACCTAAATTCAGATTCAAATATCATTACCAACCATTTAATATTTAGTCTTGCTTTTCACACTTTCTGGAAACATTATAAAATTGGAAAAGGATGTGTATATGCAATAAACTCACCTTTCAAAGAATGTAAAGTACTTGGTTATCTAACTGGAATAATTTACTGGATTTTTCATAAAGGTTTAATATAATCAATAAATAAAATGGAAACTGTTATTATTCGACAAAAATATGTAAAACGTCTTGCTAAAAATTTACTAAAAGAAATGTTTGAATTTTTACATGACGAGTATATACTCACAGAATTTGAAGAAATGAAAGAAGTTCAAAAAGAATTTCTTAAATATCTTGCTTTAAATCATATTTGGACTTTAAGCAAAAGAGGTGAAATAACAGAAGAGGAAAGAGAAGTACTACATAAACCATTTTTAAAAGGTTTATTAAATAAAGAAGTTGAAGTTGAATATGATTCAAAATTTGTAGAAGATGCTATGAAAGATGATGGTATTGATACAGAAGGAATATATAGTGTTCTTAATAACTTAAAATTAGATTCGGAACTAGATGAAGATCTATATTTTAAAACAAAATCATTTTTAGATATTTATAGAGTATTTTACGGTGGATATAAAGACTTAGAAGATTAAATTTTATATTTAAAAAATATAAAATTATTTCTTGGGTAAACCTAACAATCTTTTAGCTTCTTCTATTTTTAATTTGTAAAACTCTTTTTCTAATTCTTTAAGATAATCTTCTTTTGTTAGACCTTCTGGTGGACTAACATCTTCAAAAAAAATATTCAAACAAATCTCCATCATTAATTGAATCAAACAATTGTTTTGCTTCAAATTTAGGTGATCCAACAACTCGCTTACTCATTTTATTTCTTTAAGCTATTATAACTATCCCACCACTTTTCATAATTCTCTAAAGTTTGGGGGCTAATCTTTAGATAAACTAGTTTGTGCTTTTCACAACCCATCTCTTCCAAAAGTTTTTTGATTAAATAAAAAATGTTTATCATTCTTTTCCGGCAAAATTGTTTGTTTAGTATTTCCATGACGTGATTATCTATTATCATTAGTTTGTTATAAAGTTCATACTTTTCATTATCAGTTAGATGTAGTCTTTTGGAAATTTGATCAACCTTTTTCTCATAGTGATACTTTCTCTGATAAATACTCTTTTTTCGAAAATGAAATCGATTGTATTCTTTCAAGTCAAAATAACCTAATACATGGCCATTAGTTGTTCCACAGGAATCGCAAATATTATAACCTAATTCAACACAAAAACTATCGTTTTGACAATTACTACATATAACTTTTTTAATTACATCATCTACTATTTTTTTATTATAACTTTTTAATATTTCTAGATATTTTTTTATTTGATCTTCAGTATAACTCATTTATTATTTATTAACTTATTATCTTAAAGCTTTGGTTTTTACTTTGTCCTCCATCACATTGCGCTTATCATCTTTACTACTCAAAGCTATTTTATTTACTTCTTTTGAGTAAATGTCATGATTTTCACTTCTTATAATTTTCATAGTTCTCATTTGCTTTTCACCGGTAAATAAACACTCAAAATAATTTTCAAATTCTATTCCCTTTTTTTACAACATTCTTTTTTATTCCTTTACACTTTTTGGTTAATCTTCCATCATCTATCTTGAAAGTGTAAAGTTTCGGACGGAGACCAATAAAATGTGTAATCTGTCTACCAGCTACTTCATCTTTAAACATTCCTATTACTTTTTTGTTTACTCCTGTTGGTATACCAGATTTGTGATTAGGAGGATAATCAGAAGTGTCAAACTTCTCTAATATATCATTGGATATATCACGATAAAAATCATCCGTATGAATTTGGTATAAAAGTGAGTCAGTATCTGTAAACATTAACTCAGCTTTGTTTCGATATTTCTTTTTGATATAATTGTAATGAAAATCAAACATTAATGTTTTTGATAAATCTATAATTGCTTGACCAACATATACTGGTTTGTTAAAATACACTTCTGTCTTTTTCATGTGAACAGCAATTAGATTTTTATCAAATATTGTTGCTCTATCAAAGTTTGGACGACTCGTTAGTTTTGCAGCTTTTTTACGATCATCAATAAGAATTATATTCTGTCTTTTCCTTATGTTTTCTATTGTCTTTCCAAAAACGCTATTATTCATTAGTTTGAAAAAGTCTTTCTCAAAACTGTTAGCTGCTAATTTTCGAAGCTCTGTATTTTTTCTTATGTAAGGCTCCATCCAAGAACTTTGATAAAATGATATTCCTCTATGAACAGTAGTAAGCCTCATTCCCATCTCAAGATATTGTCTAAGATTACGATAATGTACAACATAGTTTTTTCGGGGTTTAAAATGACATATAAGTTTTTCAACACCATTAACAATCATCTTCTCAGGTGCAAGAGGATAGTCATTATGTGATTCCCATAGCTTTTTAGGATATTCCAAATCAACTTCAAATATATATCCTTTTCTTCCACGATTTGACATACTATGATTTGCTTTCTCCATAATATCCATTACTTTTTCTATTGTTATATTTTTCATCCAACTAAATCCATGTGTAGGAAGTTGTTGAGACATTGCCCAACCGTATAGATTATTTGCATCAAGATATTGAATATAAGTAGATTCTTTATCAGGATTATAATTTTTCATATATTTGTTATTTGCTTCTGCATATCTTTTTGAAATGTGGGATATTCCTCCACGAATACCACGCTCAAACATCATTAACTTATCATAATCATGTAGTAACTGTAATTTTTGTCCTGTCTCTTTGACACATGCATCCCAAGCTAAACCGGGAGATGTGTAATAATGTGCTGGATCTAGGTTGTAATGTTTGAGACAAGTTTTTCTAAAGTTTTCAAATACATCTGACAGAAGTAGGACATCAGACTTTAGGTAAAGATTATGATAATCTCTTATTGATTTACATTCAAAGTTATTCCATACATTAATAGCATGTTGGTAATCATCAACACTTATATCTTCATCATTCAGTTTTGAATAGAATTCTTCTTTTGGTGGTAATTGTGTTTCGGATAGTTTTTCAAGTGATGAAACATAGTCATATGGATAAACTCCCTTTCGTGTTAGTATTCCTGTATTTTTCTTAAATACTTGTTTTGTATTATGGAAATCATCCGGTTGTAGATTTGAAACAAGATTGGCAAGTGATGTTTGAAGAAACTTGAATGAATCAATAAATCTTATTTCAAAATTTATTGGTAAAGTTATTCCAGTATATTTATCTTTGTACTCACCAACCTTAATCTTTTTTGAAAATGAAATATATTTTTCTTCAGTAGATGGAATACAATTTAACTCACCTGGTAAACATGCAAGTTGTTTAATAAACAAATGAGCATCATAACCTTGAAGATTGTGAAATATAACTGTTAATATTCTTGGTTTTTTACACATAAGATTACATTTGTTATGAGCTGCTCCACGATACTTTCCTGTAAAATGACAATGATCTCTAACTTTATCGCCTAGTAATTCTTTCTTACAAATATGACAAATTTCCTCTTTATCAAATGATTTTTGTTCAACTCGTGTAGGTATAAGTGGTTTTGAACGGCGATAAAAATCATTATATATACCTTTTGTTACTTCTGTAATTTTGTTAACAAATACTTCAGCTATATTATCACTATCATTAGTCTTTGTGTAAATAACTGGTACAAATGATTTATTAGGAACTATTCCTTTAATGTAATAACAAAATCCTGATGGCTCATGTTTTTGATAGTTGTAACTATAAGATTTTTCTGGATTAGGAATACAAGTATTTATTGGTTTAGTAAAACATTCAAAATCTGCATAAACTACAAAAGGCATTGGAAGTTGCTTTTCATAATTTTTGAAATATAGCATTGTACCTTCTTCTGGCATTTTTACAGAAACTGTTTCATTATTTGAACAGTATATTATATGTTTTTGTAGTAATTCATCTTTAGTAAAATGTGTAAAACACCTTTTACAGATAAATATTTTACTATCCTTACTTTTAGTTTTTTGAGACTTAATTAATCGATGAAAATTTTGATTAGTGTGTAATGTGAAACACCATCTTCTTCGTACAAAAATAAATCAATAGTATTTAAACAATCTCTCTCTGCCATTCTCAAAGGATAAAAAATTTTGTTTTCGTTAACTGAAAAAACATTTATTCCTGGAAGTCCTGGATTACGTTTTTCAAATTTGGAAATATCTTTTAATTTCATAGGAAAACTAATTCCTTTAGTATTACGAGAATTTTCATATTCTTTTAAACCTGTTACTCTTTGTTCATCTCTTTCTCTTGGGTGAAGATATCTAAGTATACACCAAAGAAAGCATTTCTCATCTTTGTTTTGAATATTAATTATTGCTTTTTTGTTCGATATCCAATCTGGTAAAGGAATGTAAGAAGAACCCTTAGATGGGTTAAACTCAACAGTATGAATTTCAAGTTGAACTACCTCTTTAAAATACCATCCACTTCCATTTTCTTGATAAGCATCAAAATCACCAAGAATTCTTTTATAAGAAATATCAATTAA